TATGCTATAGTTTAATATCCAGAAAGCTTATATATATAGTTAGCTTAATATGGTATAATATCATTATAATTTCTGGTTTGTTATATCATCCTGATTATTTTGAACAATAGTATGGCTTGTGTTTTGTGCCTATCAAAGTTTAGCTACGCTAAATTTCAGTGAGCAATATTATGATGTTCATTGGGCGACTTCCTTGTGGTTCTATTTTTTTCATTACTTGCATCATACAATCTATCATTTGTACAATTTGAGCTTTTCCGCGTTCCACGTTTCCGATTCGAGAGCTAGTCGAGGGAAATCAAATTATAACCAAACATAAGATGCCTGATTATAAATGTGCTTCAGTGCTTGGTGCATCTGACTTTGCCGAAAGTTGCGAAGTGTTTTATTGGGATCGCCCTCGGCCGGTGAACGTCGGCGTCCACGATCAAGCGCTTCAAAAGATCTATGTCTATTGTTGATACAATTATTGCGATGTAGTTTAATAGTTATTTACATTTATTCATTGTTAACACAACTATATAAGGGTTTTAATCATTGCATACTATAGATATGCAGTTATTCAATTTTGCTCCTATTATCAGGTTGCTTCGTATCTATCCCAATGACTATTTAAACGACTTTCAACAACCACACAACAACTATGCAATTCTACGTAATGCTGTTTTAACGTATATATGGCTAGAGACGTTGCATGTTTGTGCGCGCATTGAACTTTGGCTTTATGGAAACAACAAAAGTATTAAAGCATAGATTCTAACCATTCCATTATCCGCGGCATTAAAAAACAATCAATTTTTGAAAGAAAGCTTTTTCAGTTTACTTGAAATTTGACCTTAATGACATAATTGCATGCACTGAACGCTAAGAAAATCTTGAAGCGCACGAAATAGCATTCGATCGGCTAAAATGATATAACCCCTTTACAAGCCTTCTGTTAAGGAACTGAATACGTTTCCAGGAATATTATGTGTTACACATTCGTCGCTTCTTCTATAAAGTTTAGTTGTAACATTGCAAATGTTTAATCTAATGTTCTACCAATCCAATGCGATTGAACAAAATTCCGCAAACGTTCCAACGAACGGTAAATCAAAACGGTTGAACGCTTTTGGAACCATTTTCGAACTTTTTTTCTCGAGGCGTTCAAACGGGCAATTTCGAACAATGAACCATCTCGAAAATCGTTTCAACGAACGCAAGAACGCTTGAAGTGTTTGAACGGGAAACGAATGATAATGAACATATTTTTCAAGGAACCAAATAGCGTTAACGTTGTTATTCCCGTGGAAGGCCACACATAAACAACAAAGTAAATTGCTTCGCACGAGTGGCAAATCACAACTGTATGACTGTTACTGGTCTGCTTGCTTTACTACCTATAATTAACTTCGTTGACTAGGTACATATGACATTGATCGAGTATTTATGTGTAGCTGTCAACGCAGCGTAATTAGCCCTAAAGCTGTTGGACGGCATGTATCATACTAACATAACATATGTCTGCAGTCAGTGCAGTGGCATGACTGTGGCCATGTCTTCAGGTATATTTTGCTATTGTTTTTACAATTTTACTCCATTTTATGATTTTAATATTATCCATGCTGTACTGGGATACGAAGCAATAAAGAGCATGCAGTGTGCGGATAGCGATCGAAGCTCTGCTCCCTCATAGCTGAACATAAACAACGTATAATGTTGCACCGCTACTTGCGTTTACCTGTTAATCATTTTCCCCCTCCAGGTATATCAAACACGCCCATGCAACAGACAGTTGACATATTTTACCGTTGTCTGATTTAAAAACCAGTATCATGGTCTAGGATCAAAGGATTCCCAAAATCGTCTGGTTTCGTCCGTGTTAAAATGCACTCTAAAAAATAGTTGTGCTGAATAACACACCAAGGTGTGCTAAAAAGCACAACTGCTGTGTTATTTCGCACGCAAGGTGTGCTATAAATAATGAGAAATTAATTTTAACACGCCTTAGCGTGCTGTTGAACACACCAAGGTGTGCTGTACAGCACATGTTACTGTGTTATATAACACACCTTTTCATAAGCACATCTTTGTCCTTAAATTTCAACACACCTTTTTTCATTAAGGTGTGCTAATTTAACCTTTCAAATTCAACACACCTTAGAGCCAACACACCTGTTAAAAACACACACCAATTTTTTAATAACACACCCTCTCACTAACACACCTTTTGAAAATGGACCTTTAGCACACCTTTTAAGAACACACCTTTCTATAAAACACACTTCTGCAAAACACACCTTTTTGTAATTAAGGGAATAGCACACCTTTGCAAACTTTATTCCTAATAGCACACCTTTTTTAAAACGTTTCTATAATAGCACACTTCCGGATTTGTGCACAAACACACATTTACTCGTTAAGGATTAGCGCACCAGGTTATAATCCGACATCAGCATTTTACCATTTAGGTGACGACCAACATAAGCCACAATTAGTCATGATACGCGAAAGCAAGACTAGTAAATTATTGTAGTGTATTAGCTATTTTTCTAGCGCGGACTATAAAATGGTCGCTGAGTTTTTTAAGGTGTCTCAGACCAGAGAACGCGACTAGAGAACGCGACTTTCTATCAAGCAATCGCAGACTCAGTTGAGAATGGCGGATATTTTTAATTAAAAATTAAAACATTTCGTTAAAATTCTCCAATTATGGCACTTCCCACTGATTTTTGCAGGTCTTTGTATTATGCCTCTACCAATTTTCTGCAACCCTCAGCCGGGCGAACGCCTGAGTATAGGCTTATTACGCGTGGATTAAAATACAACCAGATGTGTCAGGTGGTTATCCCGTACGTCGGGTTAGATTAATATTTCTGAACAATGATTTTCATGTAGGAAAACTATTAACGCAATAAATAATACTATTAAATAATATTCTTATATTCATTATAATAAGTGGCAAATCATGTTTTTAGCACTGTTCTTTAGTGTGACACCAGTAATTCCTCAATCATTCTAGAGTTCCTTTCTACAATAAATAATTTCCCTTCCTTTTTTATTAAATTTAAAACCCTATGCCATGGAAGTTGGTTGGGAGACACAACTCTTTTCTCATAGCTTTTACCAACTTCATATCATGATTAGTTCATCCAATAGAGCATACAGGGGGTAATCTCTTCCACAATCTTCATCTATGTCAAGAAGCCGCAAGGCGCAACCAATCCTGAATTCCACTCCATGAATTGTCACAGACCCCAAGCTGTAATAAACTCAAAAAAATATATTTAATATTATACTTATTTCACCGCATGTTTTCCAGATTTCTTCAGTTTTTTCGACCCAACTGGTGGTGCTAGTTTCCTTTGTCCTGTCCCCTCAGTGAACCTTGAAAATAAAATGCGTACAATATAACTACTACAACAATAGATTACCTGCTTCCTACTATTGGACCATCAGTTTCAGGTATCTTAGCAGACTCTCGAATCATGTTGATTTGGAGATGTTCCTTCAGATTAACATTGTGATTACCTAAACAAGTAAAATATTTTATGACTGTTATTATATTTTATGTAATTATATTTTATATAATCAACCAAATTTTCACTCAAAATATGCATGATCATGCTAACCACACTTACCGGGAGGAACTATATCACCATCATATAGAAAATTTGTAAATATCTGCCCTGGCATTTTTAACAAATTCCAACACATATACCTAAACAGAAAACAGAGTATCTGATTTTATTTACTGACTGATCTAATTTACTTGTTAATTACTGAATACATACCGTTGGTGACGATTTGCCAGCGTCTTGGAAACATTTTTAAAACATTTTGTCACACATTGCTTCATAAATGAATGCTTGGCTTCAAATCTCATGGACCAAAAATTTCTCGGAGGCCAAACCTAAATAGAAAACAAACTACATATTTATATCAATCATTGTCATTCAGGTGTAATCATGTTTCACATCAGTGTTAATCTGTGCTTCATAGAATCCTACCTAGACATATCATCAGGTATATGAATCAAATAATGCATCTTAGGTATAATAGATGTATTTGGGTAAATCTCTTTAAAATTCCTGTGGTGTTCCTCAATTAAAACCTTTAAATAAGGTACCTCTTCTTCCTTTATAGCAGGGGATGTGCAAACTTGAACAATATTCCATAATTGTAAAAAACAGTGCCACTCCTTTAAATTCTTGTCAATCAGATCCCCCACGATTATTGGAAAGAATCTGAAAAGGTCTTTTTGGTTCCTTTTGTATTCTTTCGATCTTTTTAATTTTAAAACGTCGTCCACTCTCGCTGACCATTCATATTGGGAGGCCTGGTATCCCTTGAAGAATGATTCGATTGGATTTTATATCTTATTGTATTACTTATACAGGGTGTATAAAAAAAAAACGCAACCACTTAATATTCTAAAATTCATATTGTTCATAAGCTCAATAGATTTTACGCCCCTGGGATTTTAAAATGGCTTCTAATCGTACAGTTCAACTGCTAATAGTCAAATCAGCTAAACTAATATTGGTGCAGCTAACAACCGAACAACGAGTCTTTATTGTCGTGCATGATAACTTGAATGCTAACTGTCGACCTTCTAAAATAAATTGTAAATTGTAAATTTTACTCGTTAAATACTTTCAATTCAGCTCGTTGGTTTACGCATTCGACTTTGTTTACCGACGATTGTGCCGCTAGTATATGATAACAAGCTTTCTCGCATTCCAGGGGCCAAACGTCTTTTGTGTTGTAGAACAAAGAGGATATTCATGAATATTAAGTGGTTGCGTTTTTTTTGATACACCCTGTATAATAAACGTAATCTGACACCAACTCCAGTTAACTCGAACCCCCGGTAACTCGAACAATTTTTCTTTCCCCTTGGGAGTTCGAGTTAGCGAGGGACTACTGTACCTTAGTTAATTTGTTAACTTCTTCAACAGTTGGCGCAAGTAGTGCATTTATGCTATACAATTTCAAGTCAGAGGTCTTCGCAATAGAAATTAAGCAACTGAATTGTTCTTGTCGAGGACCGATATAATGGTTGTATATTCCCAAGGGTTAGGGTTAGGGTAATAGAAAACACCTATTAATAAAAAATGTTAAAATTTAAAAAAAAAATATATACTTATAACATGAATAATATATTCACACTTACCAATTTTGTGAATCTTTGCCTTGGATCCCAATGGATTTGCTAATTCTAAGTCATTATAATAACTAAGAAGCTGTAGGGCTTTATTATTTCTGGAAAATATTGGATGGTTTCTGAAAAATTCTCCATCCATGATATCTCTCATTATACCATCATCAGAAGAATGAGGATTGTCAACTTCATTCATAACATCTGGATTGTTCAAAAGTGCCTGAAGAATCCAATTTTGGGTTTAATCATTATGTTATTCAGTGCATGACAATAATTTGATATTGAGCAATTGAATTATTGAACAGCCACTTTGATAAGCTCTGAATAAAAAAGGACAATCCACTTAACAGGCACAACAGTGCGGATTAAGAAGCATCCCTCATAGATGATATGCCCATAGTTGCCATAGGGTGGTTTATATTTTTGAATAAAGCTTCAAAAAATTAACAAGCGTGTTTACAAGCCTTTTTTTAATGCCTATTCATGATTGATTCTACCTCTAAATTCTGAAGCAATGGAACTAGGTAATCATAAGCAGTGATCCGCTTCAAAATCTTCCTCCCTCCACAGGTGACATGCTTCCATTGAACTCCTAACTTTTCTTTCCTTGGTTCCTAGAAAAAAAGGGTTAATCACACAAAGTTTGAGACTTCTCTAGGACTATATATCATTGGCCAAGTTGAAAACATTATCAAACAAAGGAAATCCAAACATTATTTGCTCTGTAAAAAATGGGTTACTTTGAAGTTTATACACCGAAATATAGGTATGTGACGTCAACACGGAACACAGAATAGCAACTTACCACTAAATTGAACTGACTCTTAAAGAAAGATTGCTGCTGGTACTCCGTGTTTAATCCCTCAAATACACTATCTGCATCAAAAAGCTTTTCCATATCTTGCGAAAACTGGAATTGTTCACCAACCTCGTCACGTAGCTTTCGAATCAAACTAGCTTTGACTATGTCAAAGTACTCATTCAAAAGATCCTTGGTAGAAATCTTGACAGTGTCGAGAGGAGTTTGTGTGATATTCCCTCTTTTTTTAGCCCGGAGCAAAAACTTTGCAGCATGATACTTAAGGTTTTCAGCACACTTTTCATCGTTTTCTGGTCGTTCACCATCGTCTTGACAAGTCATAATTGGTCACGGCCATATCGTCACCTCCACAATGCTCATCGATGGCTCGGTGATCTCGGTGATAGTGTTTTCGAAGACTTTCAACTCTGGTAAATGAACGCGGACACGAGCCACAAAACACTTTAAAATTAGGATCATTCGAATGTACATGTCTCAGGTGCTTAAAAAATAGCGCGCGCTCAGATTTTCAGCATGAAAAATTACAATAATCACAGCAAAATAAGTTACTAAATTCCTCTGCCTGACTGGCCATACGTCGGGTATCCTCTTCTAACACCTCGGGACGAGATTGATTTTCATGATGTGTAACGAAATTCGTGATCGATGGAAATAATATGGAAGCACGCCCAAGGGAGGAAATTAATAGGTAATTGACGGCCTGTTATGATTATTATTGCTTCTCATTGGTTAATGAGAAGCAATTATGTTTGATGCAACTAAGCAACTTGGGTCTTGGGGTATCATTTTACTGTTGTTGACACACTTGTTGTTTGCTTTCTTTGCGTTATCACTGCTGTTTAATTTAAACTATTCTGAATAATAATTTCAACGTGATGGATCTGAGGAGTCTAACCTGTATACAATTGCAAGACTTGATGAGGAGCAGATCGATCCCAGCGGATATATGCGATTCACTTCTAGGTAAATACCTTTGTATTGCTCTGAATGCTATGGAAGTAAAAAACATCTACGCAAATTGTTTAAAAATTCGGTTTCGTTTATCATTTTCACAATTTCGTATAGCAAACGACATTGATGGCATGATACTGAGTGATCTGATTGACGATCAAGCTGAGTTTCAATCAATGTTCCCGAAATCTGGACATCGTTTACACATGAAGCGGGTCGTAAAAAGTCTAGCTGCGGAATGTCACACGTTGACTTCGAATCCTGAAAGTGGTTTCTGTGATGTAAATGTTTCAAGCCCAAGTCTAGAGAACTAAACATCGACAATAGATGAACAGTCGGTATGTGTTTATTATTTTTTATTTCTCATTTTTAACCCAGATCGCATAAATCGATTTATAAATAGATTTTGAAACAATTTATGTCATCTTTACACTTTAGCTGCCATAAAAATAGATTCCCCATAGTTAATAGGGGGACTTTTGGGGGGACACCCTGTATTATTCACTCAATGCTTAGATAGTTGGGTTATATGTGATAAACTTATACATACACCTTCTTTGGGACTTTTCAAGTTACACACTTTAGGTAGACTGAAATGTGTTGTGTTACAACTTAAGGATAAATTCACTTTCTTTTAGTTAAGTAGCATCATGTCTCATTTGGCCAATATTGAGAATTGTGGTGCATTTTCCAATGGTGTTGATATCCTGAGCATGCCGTCGCCATGTATGCAGTCCACGCCAACAACAAATCCTGTTTGCAAAGATGCTCTAAGTTCATCCCAAGTTAGCACTCCATCACCCAAGATGAAAAAAACACCAAAGATGGAAAAGTCGAAGGCAGCCGGGCTGCCGACTGATATGGGTTTTCCTGAGCGCTTTTCGATGAAAGTGGAAAGGGCAATTGAAGAAGGGAATATATTGCCTGTGAGGAGACAACTGATTGCTGATATAGCTCAATTTTACCAAGGATTGTCAAATTCTCCCCAACAAGGAGACTGCAAAAGAATTGCATTGAAGACCTGTGAGAAGTTTCCCCAGCTAAAAGATTCAACTGGAACAAATTTTTGGGTATGTTCAAAGCCATTTTATATGTTACTTTTTATGCTGGCAAGTCTTTTTAGTTAAGTGCTATTGGGGAAGGACAAAAATTTCAAAATGGCCTGAAAAGTAATGTCACAAGCCTACCATTTATGAACTTGCCAAATATTAATGTACCTAATCTTAATAACATGTTCCAGTAGTGTCAACTTATTTGTGCTTCAAAGTTGATGAAATGAGGCATAAATATAAAGTGAACAATACTGCAATGCGATAAACATTTTAAAAGTAAATAAGTTAGCCATAAAAATAAATTATTAGAATGATGATTATTGTTAATTAGGTGATCATATCATTTTCAGGCATCTGTTCAGAGACAGTTGAGCCAGTACTTTAGAAATCAGCGAAGGTATTCAAAAGTGAGACTGTCCACTGATAGTAAGAATGGATGCCCGGCTTCAAAATTGGCAAAGATTAGTGACTCGAAAGTTGATGATGCAGTCACACAACAAAGAAATTTAGAGCTGCTTAAAGACTACCAAGTTGGGTCGATATCGGGAAAGACATTTGTCACACTGGTGGAAGACACGTATCAGGCACGAAGGAAGTTTATAACTTCATAGGCCTCTTCCAGTGCAGAGATTCTGGAGAAATGCCCTTATCTTGGAAAAGCAGAGAATGTAAGTGAAATTACCTCATGGTTATCATACTACCCACCATTATAAAGGGAAAAATATAATTTCATACATTAGTAGCAAATATCTTATTGATATACCCTGTACATTTGATGTTTTTAGGTTAGAAAGGAGATGAAACGGGTCATGCAGGGATTCTCCTACCCTGAAACTCTAAAGAATTTCGAAGCTGCATTAAAGCAAGTTATAGGAGATGACAACAAGATGACAAAACTTGATAATGGGGAAGTATACAACGCTGTTGTAGCGATTGAGAAGAAAACAATGCGAAAAGGCCAATCAGCCATAAAGTTGAAAGATGTAAGTATTTAACTACAGCTTAATTGTGTGTGTAATCTGGTTGATTCTTAGCATAATTTTTTACCTGTATACAAGTGATATTAATTTTTTGCTGTTTCTTTCAGCGGTCATGTAAGCCTGACCAGCTTTTTAAAGACAAAATGGTGGATTTCAAGCTTGTGTTGGTTGGGTCTCCAGATGATATACTGCAAGCCTTCATTGCTGGTGAGAATCAATGCTTCATGGAAACCTCAAATAATCTTCTGGAGGCCTTAGTGGACCTTATTTGTACTTATTATGTTTTTGATGTGAGTTACCCTGATAATCTCTCAGGCATTCTTTTTTTAATTTCAAGATTTTGGTCTTAGGGCAAAGGACAATGCCAAAAGGTCCATAAAGTACTCTACTTTAGCATCAGAACTATTAAACGCGGGTTGTCTAATTCACATATTCCCGCTAACATAATATTAATTGTATCTTTGTATAGTTTCATAGAAATACATTTCCCTTGCATGTGGTTTATTTATAGTATATGTATTTGCCTTAGCATTTTAATAAAAAGCATTTTATAAACTTGACAGGTGTTATTGTGTTATAGTTTCATGTTGTCCTTTTTAATAGTGTGCTTATTTTGTAGCCTGGAATGTGTGCACATTTAACACACCCAATGTGTTTAATAGCACACTTTGGTGTGCTAAATAACACACCTTAAGTTGTGATTTTAGCACAGCAAGGTGTGCTAGACAACACACATGGGTGTGCTAAATAACACGCCTTGATGTGCTAACTAACACACCAAATGGTAGAACACATCTTAAGGTGTGTTAAAATAAGGACAAGCTAACAACACACCTTTTCATGTGTTATGAAACACACAAGGTGTGCTACTTTGTTATATATATATATATATATATATATATATATATATATATATATATATATATATATACACCCATTTGCAAAAACGTTGGCCGCAGATAGATATATAGATAAATACTCGAAATCTAATTAGAATTGCATATGTTGTGTAATATGATTGAAATCCCATGCAAATGTAATCATATGCAATTCTAATTAGACTTCGAGTATCTATCTATCTATCTGCGGCCAACGTTTTTGCAAATGGGTGTATATATATATTCTAAATATATATTCTCGTCCACGCGTTTGTAATTTCCCGTCTCGTCCACGCGTTTGTAATTTTCAGTTTGAAAATTAATAAATCTCCACTCACCCAAAATAATTTGACGAAAAAATCCCGATCTATTCAGTTAGTTTCTTCGAACTCTCTTAACAATATTAAAAACGAGCTCTTTATATAATAGATTCCACAATGATATATCTCCAAATTAGAAGTAAATGTTCGATCATTTAAGAAATACGCGGAGAACTTATTTCAGTGACCGCACGCGTGCGCGCAGCTGACCATTCCAATTTATTATGATATGCTAATTATGATCAAGATCATCATAATGATCATAATGGTTGCAATGGGACCTTCATTTATTATGATTAATATGCTAATTATGATCAAGATCATCATATTAATGATCATGGTTACCATGGTAACCATCATTCATTATTATTATTGTGCTAATTATAATCATGATCATTATAATAATTATCATAGATTTAATGGCAACCATCAATTATTATGATGAATATGCTAATTATGATCAAGATCATCATAATGATATTCACGGTTGCCATAGCAACCATCATTTATCATGATTATTATGTCATGAACATCATAATGATCATCATGGTTACCATATCAACCATCATTTATTGTGAATATTATGCTAATTATGATCATGATCACCATAATGATCATCATGGTTGCCATGGTAACCATTATTTATTATTATCATGCTAATTATGAACATGATCATCATAATGATCATCATAGCTGTAATTGCAACCATCATTAAATATAATTAATATGCTAATTATGATCAAGATTATCATAATGATCGTCATGGTTGCCATATCAATGATCATTTATCATGAATAATATGCCAATTATAACAAAGATCATCATATTGATCATCATCGTAGCTATGGTAAACATCATGTATTATTAAAAATATACTATTTATGATCAAGATCATCATCATGATCATCACGGTTGCTATTGCAACCATATTTTACTATGATTATTATGCTAATTATGATCAAGGTCATCATAAGGATCATCATTATTTCCTTAGTAACCATAATTTATTATTATTAATATGCTAATTATGATCAAGGTCATCATAATGATCATCATGGTATCCATAGTAAGCATAATTTATTATTATTATGCTAAATATAATCAAGATCATCATAACGATAATCATGGTTGCCAATGTAACCATAATTTAATATGATTAATATGGTGATTTTTATAATGATCATCATGATGATAATGGCTTCCATAGCAACCACTTTTATTATGAATAATATGCTAAATATGATCATGATCGTCATAATGATCACCATATTTGCCATGGAAACCA